TAGCTTGTTTATGCTAATAACAATAGGAAAATGCATCAAAATAATATTTTGTTATTTGTTTTGTGCACGCTAATCATAGTTTTACTTGTGTTTAGTGCAAAATCCCACACAACAGTGTTCTCCAAATGTAAATTTGTTAGTTTTCCACTGTAAACCCAACAAATTATTTAAGAAATAAAGGAATAGCCCTAATTTTGCATTGAAATTGTAAATCAGTTGCATTTTTGCTCTTGAAAAAGAGGTATTTACAAATTTAAATCCTGTGATTTTTACAGCATTTCATAAAATTAAAGCTCAAGCTTTTTACATTTTATTTTATTTTGTTTTATTTTATTGCCCCTTTTAAGACACAATAAACTAAAAAGTGTCACTCTTGTACAAAGTGATTTATTTTGACTAAGTTTAGGGGTAGAATTTGTCTAAAAATCAAAGTGAAAACGTTCAATTTTGAAGTTTTATTAAAAATGTTATAATGTAATTGTTTTTGAAATACGATTAAATTAGGATAGAAACGAACATTTCGGTGGATTTTATAAGAAAAAGCACGATTAAAAAGATAAACAAATTTGTATATTTTATTAACCCAATCTCTACTGTGACCTAATTCATTTTATTGTAAATTAAATAATTTTAAAACAAAATTTATTAGCTATAAACATATAAAAAAAATATTTATTTTCATCCTTCATCGTGATTTGATCAAACCCGCAGGCACGTCCCGGTACGTAAAACAAACGCACCCTTGTTCTCTAATTGCGCATGCGTCAATGCGTCTGAAGGCCCGCGAGCAGCTAACGTGCTAAAACAGCAGCGTACTGAACGTTTTCGTTACTTTCGCCATCATTAACCTTTTCTTTTACTGAATTTACTTTCAGTTACACGCGACCCGGTTAAGTGGTACGTATTTTTGGACAGTTTTAGATTCATTCCGATGTCTTGTTTAGCCTGCCAGAGTCAGAACTGTATGTTAGGACATCAGCTCGAGCTAGCATCAGTTTAGCTTCTCTGTGCCGGGTAGCGTGCTCAGCGCTAGCGTTAGCTAACTTAGCTGTTTGTTTGTTGTTGGCCTGTCCCTTTATACCTTAATACATATATTAAAAAACTATTGTTATTAAAGGCGTTTGACTTTATGGCCTTTAAATAGCGAACGCCACATTACTAAGTTCAGCTAATGTTTCAGAAAAGTCGAGCATGACTTTGTAAATAGTACCGACACAGTTCAGTGTTTTCCTTCCTCATTGTGCTGTCAGACAATCTGTCGTTTCTAAAATAAATTTGATAGTATTTGTAACTTAGAGTTGTAAATGTGTGAATGTCTTCATTAAAAGATTATTGCATAGGGTCCTAATTGTGTTTAATGTGTCTCCATTACAGGTCACGTTAATTTTCAGGATGTCCTTCCCTCCTCATTTAAACCGGCCTCTGTTGCCCCCACCTGGGATTCCTCCTCAGTATGCTGGGTTCCCCTCAGGTGAGCGACAGTGGTCCCACAGAATAATTACATGCATTACTTTAAATAAAGGTGAACGGGGTCTCTTATGGCAGTGGTTCCCAAACTTTTTATCTTCTGACCCACAAAATATCCATGACAAAAACTTGTGACCACAAATGTTACTGGTCTGAGTACACAAACTTTGTTAATAACCCTAAAAACACAGACTTTTTGACAATCTAAACAGCTTGTACACAAATATAAATACTTATTTTTACTTATTTTGTGTTTTTGTAATAATTATAGGGAAAATATTACATCAGCGATTATTTTATTATCCTTTAAATTGATTCCTGGAGATTATCTAAGGTGTTGACCCATAATTGGGTTCCAAGTCCAACTTTGGGAACCAAAGTGCAGTGGTTCCCAAACTTTTCAGCTTTTGACCCACAAAATAACAATAGCAGAGACC